GGAAAGGTTCTGATGTTCTGGTAGAACCTTAACTCAGTCTGATGTTAACGGTCTCAGTGGAACCATCAACAGAAGTCATCTCCAGCTCAACCACTCGATGGGAGCACTAGTGGAACACGGTTCCTTTAACTGTTTTCCAGAACAACAGGTCTCTCCTGTCTGTCAGAACAACAGAAGTCTTTTAGTTGGGTCAGAACCATCAAGTTCTAAAAGCAGGACCTTTGACGAGGAACAGTAGAACCTGGGACACATTTGTTTTCACTGACACGCGAGGCAGTGAAGGTGGAACTGAAACATGGAGGAACCAAAAAGAAACTGGGTTAAAGTAAAGTCAGACGTCAGGAAGACGAGCTGGAGACACCAGGTGAGGACGGCAGGGGGCGGGGCTAACCTCAGGTGTCACCTGATAGGACAAAAAGACCAGTCTGCATGAGTGTCTTTGATTTTTTTTGCATGTTGGGAAGCTCTGAGGTGACGATCCTGGTTGACCTGAATCCTGGAGCGAAAGCGTGTGACCCAGCAGGGTTCATGTGTTCACGTGTTCACATGCGTGTGCGTGCAGACGTGTTCCTGTTAGGACAGGATGTCCAGCGTCACACTTCCTCTCTGTTTCTTCAGGATGGTGACGGCCTGTTCGTGCGTCGCCTCCTGCAGGCTCTCGCCGTTCACCGCCAGGATCTGATCGCCTCGTTTCAGACGCCCATCCACTGCCGCCGCACCCTGAAACACACACACACACGATTACGACTGGTTCTGACCCATCCTGGGTTAGGAATAAGGTTCTGACCCATTCTGGGTCAGGGTTAAGGTTCAGACCTTACTGAAGACGGTCTTGACGTAGATGGGCAGGTCTCCATGTGGACTGCCATATCCTCCGACAACACTGAAGCCGAGGCCCTCTGATCCCTTCTCCAGAGTGATGCTGTGAGGCTGCGGACCCCTGAGGACCAAAGGTCAAAGGTCAGGCGAGCTATGTGGGGCATTACAAAGCGTGTCGGTGCGTGTTCTCACTCTGGCTCAGCAGCCGTGTGTGTGTCGGTGCTGGACAGTCCAGAGCCACTGGTCAGACTCTCCACCTGAGAGGCCACGGCGCTGATGTTGGTGTCGGCCACAACCTGCACACACAAACACATACACAGGTGGAACACACGTGTTCTTTATGTGTGGAATGTACGGAATGTGAGGAACCTGTACAGAACATGTATGAAAACGAGTGGAACATGTAAGTAACAACTTATAACATGTACGGAACATGTGTGTGTAACATGTGGAACATGTGTGGAACCCTGCAAAAACATTATCATCTAAATGAGTCCTGATGCATTATGGGACAGTTTTAATAATAAGCGTTGTTCTGTGGTGGGACTCTAGGTTCTGCGTGGTTCTGTTGCAGCCTGATAACAGTTTATTAGCATCACGTCGTGCAGCTATTAAACTCCCCGCAGGTGACGGTCCAGCTGCTGGACCCCTCTGATAAGAACCACAGGAACAACGTTAGGAGTTGTTCTTCCTGTCTGAACGTGACGAACTGAAGGAGTTCTGCTCGGCCCGATACGCTGGAAAATCAAAAACATGAACTGCAGGTTCTGCATTCTGTGGAGTTCTCATCATGACACTCTGAAGCTGTACACGTTTCTACACACACTTGTATGCAACATGTATGAACATGTATGGAACGTGTACAAACCGGATTCCAAAAAAGTTGGGACAAGTCCATTTTTCCCACTGTGTGGCATCCCCCCTTCTTCTTCCAACACTCAACAGACGTCTGGGGACAGAGGAGACCAGTTTCTCCAGTTTAGAAATAGGAATGCTCTCCCATTCATGTCTAATACAGGCCTCTAACTGTTCAATCGTCTTGGGCCTTCTTTGTGGCACCTTCCTCTTTATGATGCGCCAAATGTTCTCTATAGGTGAAAGATCTGGACTGCAGGCTGGCCATGTCAGTACCCGGATCCTTCTCCTACGTAGCCATGATGTTGTGATTGCT